TTAACGATATTCCGAGTACCACTTGCGTCGCAAGTGTTAAACTCGTACAGTTTATCAAATGTTTTATTTTAATCTCCTGCATTTTATATTTTTAGCCGGGTGAAATCTTAATAGCCTACAGTACAGATATTGGATGGAGTCCGTATTTCCCAATTATATCTGGTGTTGTCACCGAGCTTGGTGGACTCATCTCACATGGTAGAGTATTCAATTAAATTTATATAAATATTTAGTTTTTTGTAAAAATCAAACGTATTTGGGAGGATAATTTCAGCTGAGAGATAGTTCTCTTGTAAAAGTAAATTGCTGCCCAAGTCAAAACTTTTGATGGTTTTATATTGAAGTACAGTAGAGCGCCGATTATCCTAACCCTTATTATCCGAACGTCCAATTATCCAAACTATGTCCAAATTCCCTTTTCTTTTAGAATACTTTTTAAATTATCGACAATTTTTCTAAATTTAGAAGAATGAATAATATCCACTACATCTGAAGACCATATTTAATTTACAACCTTTTTTTAGCATTTCACTTATAGTAGCTTAGAGGTTAACCTAACCTACATACCCCTTTAACCCACAGTTAAACCTACATACCCCTTTAGCCCTTTTCAACTGAAAATTAGCTTCCAAGAATACGATCTTCATTTTGACAGTCTACAATGGTTTTAATGCGGAAGGAGTTTATGAATGATAAGTGCTGAAGTTCTACAATTGGGGAATGGGTAATTGTCAATTATGGTTAATGACTAGTGATTACAGTGCTTGGAATCTTAGATCTTGGAATAAAATTTTTAACAGAAAAACAAACGATATTGAAGTTTCTGAACCAGTAGATCTTCTGGATGAAAAGATGCCCGGTTATACAGCAGAAGAAATAGAAGACTGGTGTCGAGACACTGAAAACGATCCAGTATTTCAAATTTTAAATTATGATGAAATTGTTGCTGAAATTTTGAATGAAAATCGGAACACCTCAGATGAAGAGGAAGAAGTAGGTGATCAAGTTCAAGATAGTGGATGTTTTCATGCAATTCATTAGATATTGCATTGAATAGGCTAGAACGTCAAAATTATGTTAAGTCAGTTCAGTTGATTTGTTTAAAAAGAATAAGGGATATGGCTGTTCAAAAAAGATAATCTTCTTCGAAACAAAAGTCTTTGCTGGATTTCTTTTGCAATGGAAAATAAAGAAAAAAGTAGTAAAATCAGTAATTGACAAAAAACTATAAAAAGCTGAAATATGATAAAAATAATTCAAAATGGAGAAAAAGTAAAATATATATA